TGTTTGTTCTGCAGGTTTCTACTGACCCGGTTAAAAGAGTTCTGTGGAGAGTTTCTGAAGAAGAAGCTCAACCTCTCCAACTGCGTTGCGGTTCACAGCTTAGCCCACATGTATTCCTTGAATCAGCTGGCCCTCAAAGCTCAGGATATGATCAGGAGAAACTTTTACAAAGTTATCCAAGATGAGGAATTCTACACTTTGCCCTTTCACCTCATCAGAGACTGGCTGTCAGACTCGGAGATCACAGTGGACTCTGAAGAAATCCTCTTTGAGACTGTTTTGAAGTGGGTTCAGAAAAATCCTGAGGAAAGAGAGAGGTACTTTGAAGATCTCTTTAAGCTACTTAGATTGTCTCAGATGAAACCCACTTACCTTACTCGCCACGTCAAATCTGAAAGGCTGGTATCAAGCAATGAAGCCTGTGTTAAATTAGTGTCTGAAGCCGTGGAGAGTCATGCCTTGCGGTCTGAGAACCTGCAGTCTGGTAATCTACAACATTCCGCTTGTCCCGTAGCGTTGTTGCCGCGTTTTGGACAAAACATGGATGTCATTATGGTGATTGGTGGTGTATCGGAGGGAGGAGATTACTTGAGTGAGTGCGTAGGGTATTTCATCGATGAAGATAGGTGGGTAAACTTACCGCACATACATAATCATCTTGATGGGCATGCTGTTGCTGTGACAGAATCTTATGTTTATGTGGCTGGCTCCATGGAACCAGGGTTTGCCAAGACTGTAGAAAGGTACAATCCAAACAGAAATATTTGGGAGCAAGTCTCTAATCTAATAACCAGAAAGCATTCTTTTGGCCTTACTGAAGTTAAAGGAAACTTGTACAGTATTGGTGGACATGGCAATTTCAGTCCTGGCTTTAAAGATGTGGCCATTTATAATCCCGAGCAAGACAAATGGCTTAACCTGGAGTCAGCACCAAAGATTCTTCGTGATGTCAAAGCTGTTTCTGTAGAAGACCGGTTTGTTTATGTTGCTGCTCGTACCCCAGTTGACAGTGATAGCGAAGATGGATTGAGGGCGGTTATTATCAGATACGATGCTGAAACACGGCAGTGGCAGGATGTGGAGTCTCTGCCGCTCATTGATAATTATTGCTCTTTTCAAATGTCTGTTGCGAACACAAACTTTTACCATACAGCATCTTGCTGCCCCAAGAGTTACCCTATAGATAATGAGGAAGCCAAGGTAAAGATCTCTGGCAGGGCCTCGGATGAAATACTTGAAAGCTTACCCCCAGAGGTTCTTAGCATTGAAGGAGCAGCTATTTGTTATTATAAAGATGATGTTTTCATCATTGGGGGGTGGAAGAACAGCGATGACATTGACAAGCAATATAGGAAAGAGGCCTATCGTTACTGTGCTGAGAGAAAGCGCTGGATGCTTTTGCCTCCTATGCCTCAGCCTCGCTGCAGAGCAACAGCCTGCCATGTGAGAATTCCTTTCAGATGCTTGCAGGGAACACAAAGATACCCTATGCCACAAAATTTGATGTGGCAAAAAGATAGAATAAGGCAAATGCAGGAAAGGCAGATGCAGGAAATACACCGACACTCCCTAAGCTTACGGAGAATGCCACGCTCGCAGATTGAGTGCTAGTTTCTGGAGTATCACTCCTGATGAATCTAGGAAATACTGTGCTAAACCGTTTTCTTAGGCTTGCCGTGTCTTTATAAGACACGAGGATGTTGATTGGATTTGATGCATAAAACCAGCATCTTTTATGTATTGCAAATTAAGAAGCTCAGAAATTGAGGATGGTTGGGAATTGAGAAACGATGTGAATCCAACAGTATTAATGGTGCCCAGGGAAAAAAACTGTAGCCTGTAACGGGCTGCGAAATATCTCCGGGAACATTAAGTCTGTTACTTCTTCAGATCTTTGTTTTCAAGGATTTCTGTAGAGTTAGTCTCTAACAGTTCTATTTTTGAAAATCAAAGATCTCTATCTTAATAATTCAGTGGTTACATTTGTGTGTGCTTGAAAGCACCTGTTTTATTTGCACTTATATATTGACATTCCTTTGATTCTCTCCTTCTCAGTGACTAAACTTCACATATAATTGGTGTTAGTGTACTTGGCTTTCCCAAGTTGGAGGCAAGTGCAATAGTTATACCTGTATACGAAAACAAAAGCACAATCTTTCTTTATAAAATTACTTCAGGATGTTTCTATGTGTATTAAATATTTTGTATCTGTATGTTTTAGAGAGGCTGCAGAGTTTGTTTATAAATGGATGATTGCTAGAACACAAGACACTTGCTAAAACAGAGAACTTGAGGCAGTAGATTTTTTTCAGGTGCATCTGAAGATGCTTTGAGTTTGTCTTTGACAGCTTCATTAGAAACTTGAGTCAACAATCAGCCTGATAAAAGGAGTGAAAACCAGCGAAGTAGCCATCCACCAACACTGACTAGTCACTTCTATCAGTGGATTAATGAGATTATTTCGCAGTAGTAGATTGAAACCTGAGCTACTTGTCAATCCTTTCTCAAGTGTTGCACATGTTTTAATTCTAGTGAAAAAGTGGTTAGAAGAACCCCCACGAGCCTGTTTCCAGCCTGTCTTTGACAATCAGTACCCTTTGCCTTCAGTATACATTCCTGAGAAACTTAGAGTAGCTGTGCTGCAGCGCTCCTTAACAAATCAGCACTTGTTGTTCCTCTTGAAGGGTGATAGTTGGCTCTCAATTATTGATGACAAGAAGATTTTTGAGAGGCATCTGGAGTTTTCACAGTCTCTAAATAATTGAATTTCCCCACTTACTGTGGTGGTAAGATTTTTAAGCTGATTTAAATACCTTTTGGCGTTTTGAGTGGGTTTACATAAACCAGTGCCCTGGTTGGCCCTGGTTTGCTTATTCTACACTCCCAAGAAACAGAATATGGAATATTTCTTTTAGAGTATCACTGCCTCTCAGTTAGCGATCCCACTGAACACTCCTCCCTGATCCAAAAAGCTCCAGGACAGTTTAGGTTACTAGCGGATTCAGTGCATCCCTCCTACCTCCTTTTCTTCCCCGTCCTTCCCTTTATTTGAATGTTCCAGGTTTTCTCATGCGACCTAACTCAGGATCTTAGGGAAGGGAAAGGGAGGAGTAACCAGGGTGTTCCAAAATTTGTGTAGACAAACGTTGTTGGAGAGTCTGTTTTACTGTCTTTGGTTCATATGATAATTTGCTGGTGGTTTTGATGTGGGCAACTTCTTTGCAAAAGAACTTTTAAACAGTTTGGTTTTTTTGTTTTGTTTTTTTAATTGTTTAGCTTTCTGAGCTGATACTTCTCAATTTTCCAATTCAGCAGGCAACCTAGATCATATCTGAAACACTGGGTAAGTCTTTCAACCACATAGAGTGTATAGGTTTCTCTGATGTGTACATCCCTTAATGCTCTACTTTGCAGTTCACTTGCCACTTTTGATATCAATAACTTGTCTTTTTGTAATAGAATAATCTAGCCTTCGTTAAAAAAAAAAAAAAACAAACCTTGAAAATCTTAACAGTTTCGTCTCAATTTACTCACCTATGGTACCTGTGTTGTATTTTATTTGCCTGTTGGATTGTTATGCAAGGGCAGATGAAATTGTACGATGCTGGCCTAATGTGAGAGAGGAACTGGGTAAGCTTGTTCAGGTTTAAGGCTGATGTTCAGAAGTGACTGTCACCAAATCAGCTCATGCAGGCCTGCAAGCAAGGGGTTAAATCGGTGGAGTTTGGCCCATGAGCTCTCCAAGATTTGGCTGGAGTAGTTTAAGAATTACTGCCCCTGCAGCAGGGTTTGTGAATAGAAGCATGAAAATGCCTCACAGCTTCAGTACGAAATCCATTGATTTAACTTAAATTTGTAGGAGCTGGTTTTTAAGATACTTTACCAGACTTTGCACAGAAGCAGCTGAGAAGAGTTTACGTACTCCATCCCACTGACTTAGCTGTAGGGATTTTTAACAAGCAATTGAAGGGCAGTGGTATGTCAGACCGCCACAGCTCTGTCAAAGCCCTCTTGAGTCCATCAACAAATCTGGACAATTCATAGGGAGAAATACCAAGATGATTATTTCACTTGGAATCTGAACTAAATAGTTCAACATGTGGCAGCATGCAATGAAGTCAGATGCAAGAACAAGCTTCTTGCAGTCTTTCTTTTTCTAAGCAAAATTGATATTGCACTTACCATGAGAACTTTCGGCTGATGTACAAGCTGTATAGTTTACTAAAGACATTCCACCCAAAAGACGATGTCAAAACAGCTTAGCATCTGAACGGCTTAACTTGTGAACGCCAGCCATGATTCTGTATGTGATGCACTATATCTCCGTATGTTCTGTTTGCATGGTGAGTGATGGGCACTGTGAACAGCACTGGTTTGCTCTAACTTTTGCTATGCCAATTCTATGGAATTTTTAACGAGTTGGGGTTGTTTTTGGTTTTTTTTAGCCTTGACTTGAAGTGGACCAATTGCATTGCACATGGTTTTTAACTGACAAGTCTAACTATCCACTGTATCCCATGTAGGTGTTTGGAAGAATTGCATTATTGACTCTGGCTGTGATTTAGCCCACTAACCTGTGAATTGTGTAACACATTCCTTGTGGCCCTTGACTGCCGTAGCTGGCTGGGTGTTTATAAAATGAATAAACAAAAGCCTGGGAATTCTTTCAGTGTGTTTATAGTGGCTGGTTAAACGTCAGTAAGATCCTAGTGTGTATTCAGTTAACTATTAGAAGGCTAACTTCAGGTTTTCCCAATGTAAAAGAACATCAGGTGGAGTTTTTCCTCCTCCTCCTTAGGACAATCGTACCTCTACCCCTGTACTGAACACATGCCACAAAACGCATGTTTCACATCCTGTCTTTCTGCTCAAAGTATTAGTGGAGTAGGACACATCCTGCCTAGACTCAGCTGTCATTATAGTAATTCCTAGGTGCCATATGTGTACATAATATTTTATAACTACCTGAATACTCTGTTAGTATGCTGGGTTTGTATGTATTTTTAATAAGACTTTCCCTTGCACATAGTAGGATACCACTCCAGAAATGAAGAAAACATGCCAACTTTTTAGCATGCATTACGAACACCTATGCCAAGCATTCTGCTATACTATTTCAATATCATTTTTCTCCATTACAGTAAATGTTAAAATCAGAAATATCGGCTAAACTTGTGTGTCACGGAATAGACTGATCACTACTGACAAACCAAGTCACAAAGAATTGCAGCTTTCTAGGTTATTTTTAACATGACCTTGTAATAGTACGGTGTAACATTGAGTGGGCTTAAAAAAGCAAGCTTAAAATAAGTGGTTTATGGCTTAGGTTTATTTTCAGCTATGTCCACGTTACGTTAGGGTATAAATCGTATCTCTAATTTGACAGTCCTGAGCGGAAGTCTGATAAAACAGGTGCTCCTGAGGATCTAATCCTATTACTAATATGAATGTAAAGTGTGGAACTAACGAGATGTTTGAAGACCATTAATAGTCAGATGCTCCTCGTAGGTCCATGTCACTGTGGATCACGGCAGCTGTACTCTCCTGTCGATGTTAATGTAGACTCCAGCAGATTGCTTGGGGAAGCAGCACTCCTGTACTTACTTCCAGTAAGGTAAAGTAGTATGTGTGTGTAGGCTGTTTGAAACAAATCCTACTGCAATGTTCTTTACCTTAAATACACTGTACTAAAGTTTATTGTAATAAGTGAATTAATGAAAATAAACCTTTTATTTCTCTAGCATTCTGTTGCACCTTTTATTTTTTTAAGTGGCTATGTAGGCTGTGGCCAATAGATGTATTTTTGTAGTGCCATAGAATGAAAGCTTTAAATACTAATTATTCTTTTGGCCTGTATCGATTGCTTTTATTTTAGAATAAGCAAATATATTCACTTGCTGCTCGGAAGACTTTATTAGCCAAGTGGAACTGTTCATACAGGCAGGCTACTTGTTGAAGAAGAGAACCTGACTTCCTTTGAAGAGTTTTCCTCCTGGCAGTCTCGTCTGGCAACGTAGTCCCTGACGTTAGATAGACCTGGCACCACACAGCAGCTCAGGGCGCTACGGTATATGCCCATGTCGTGAACATCGTACCACTCATTGGAGTTTTCATCATAACACTCAACGTTGAAAGTAGTTGTAAAACCGTTAAAGCCACCAACCACAAACAAAAGATCATCCACCACTTCAATGCCAAAGTTGCTGCGAGGATTGAACATGGTGTGGATTGTGCGCCACGTGTTGGCAATGGGGCTGTAAGCTTCCACGCTCCGAAGCCGGTTGACTCCATCAAATCCTCCTACCTGTGAATGCCAAAGGTACAGAGCTGGAACAGGCCTTTCCTCACCCACTAGGGCAGCCGAATCATTTCACACGCAAGTAAGATGGTAACTGGTCCTGCCCCGCCGACTTCACTTTGAGCATTGCTGAGAGCATGTGATCTCAAAACACAATGCGTGCTTATTGCAGGCTGCTCCCTTGTTCTCCCTGCAGCTTCCAAAAGTTATTTTGTGCAACTGTCAGATTTTATGCTTCTACAGAGTTTAAATGCAGTACCTGGATAGGTTAAACAGGACCAAGCAAATGCTACTGATGCTGTTAGCAGCAGTAGAAAATAATTTCTTTGCAGCTGCTTAAAAATTGTCCACACATTTCTCATAACGAAAAGTGTGCAGGTGATAATACTCTCAGGAGGCATATTGACCGTTCTGGCTCTCACTGCCTTCCCCAAATCTCACTTAGAAGCAAATGGCCAGCCTGAAAAACTAGGAAATGCAGATTAGCAAAAACAAGTACTGCGAGTGCTGGGTGGCGTTATGGCAGGGCGAGCGCTTCTCCCTTACCGCGTACACTTCGTTTCCATATGCGATCACACCTACTCCACTTCTTCTGCTTCTCATTGGGGCTATAAAGGTCCATTGATTTGTTGTGGCATCGTACATTTCGGCGGTGATCAAGCATTCGTTTCCGTTGAACCCACCACATATATACACCTGTTTACAGGAGAGAAAAAAAGGGCGAGCAGGGCAGTTATACTCAGTGGGAGAATATGTCGAGGAGAAAATGGCGTGGCTGGATTTTTGGGGGTCAGTTGGTTTGGTTTTGTTCTGTTTTGGTTTTAATGGGAATGGCCATCCTGGGTTTGAAGTAATAAAAGCACAGAGAGTTATTCAGGCCAGCAGGATTTAGACCCTTTATTTCCTGAACTGCATGGAGCAGATGGGTATTTGACCCGACCTGTGGCCAGGGAAAGGGCTGTCCGGCAGCAAGGGGGCTGCTGGTGGTAAGCAGCTCTGGAAGAGTTTCACCACTCCTGTCTGCATCTCTGCCATGCCAGGCAGATACTGCCTCTTGGAGAGCTTTGTACCTGTAGCTCCAGGATTTAATGAATAAGGTTTACGTGAACTTTCTTCCTCTTTATTTTAAATGACCCATCATGTTAAAGGGAGCATTTGTGACCTTTCCTGCTCCCACAGCTCCTCTTTTCCGTTTAGATGACAAACTCATAGTCATAGCTGTGTTTACCACTGGCTGAGCTCCATGAAAGTCCTTACCTTGATACACGCCACGTGAAAGTACAGGCACTTGCTCACTGATGTTGGTTTGGTTCTTTATCCTGCTCACCATACTTCAACCTTAAGCGCTTTCTGTAACCTCAGGGGCCATTTACCTTTTCATGCAGCGTGGTCGCGCTAGCATCGCTTCTCTGCTCATGCATGGGGCCAATCAGTGTCCACTGGTTCGTCTCTGGCTCGTACCGTTCTGCTGTGTTGAGGCGCATGTATCCATCAAACCCTCCCATGGCGTAGATGAAGTTGTTGAGGACGGCGACGCTGACGTAGCAGCGCCGCGAGTGCATGGGTGCGACCTGCTGCCACGTTTTCTTAAGTGGGTCAAACCGTTTGACGCTGTTGAAATAATCCACGCTGTCAAATCCTCCAATAACGTAGACAAAGCCTTTTAAATAAGCCGTGCCGTGATAGGCGAGGGGGCTTTCTTGCTCGCATGTGACGTTCACCCACTTGTCTGCGCGTGCATCGTACGTCTCGATGGCGTTGGTTGGGCTCCCCCCGCTCCAGCCTCCGATAGCAAACAAGATGGCGTAGGGCAGGCGAGGCCGACTGAGCGGGTTGGTGAAATCAGAATAAGATGGGCCATGCATATTGAGGTTGTACATTTCTGTCAGTGTGTTTATGATGAGAACTTTGCACTCCTCGTTGTCCTTCACGTAATCGTGCGTTTTGACGTTGTTCATGAAGTACTCCGCTTGCATCAGTGCCAGTCGAACCTGAAAAATGCAAAAAGGGGGTTAGAATATTAGTGCAGATGTTTTACACCTTGGTGTCCTTTGTGGATAGCTCCGATGCTGGATGGCTTTGCTTTCAGGCTACCGTGTTGTCTAAAGCTTGTTAATGAACCAGAGAATTAAACGTGTAGCTTTTAGCTACTCCAGAAAGGGGGGTGCAAGGGTAAATAATTGGATTTCACGGCAGGGAGCCTGGCACTGCTTTGGCACGGCGCTTTGCTGTACGCAGACCGAAGCTGCCCACAGCACAGCTGGTCTGGGCAAGCGCTCATAAACTTTGTGTATGGAGCGGTGTCGTCCCACGTGAACCTTGTCCCTTCCTGGGTGTGAGGAACAGTTAAACTCCAAACATGAGGAAATGTGCACTTAAAAGGTCTGCCCCAACCCCAGCACAGGATCGTCAACCCGTGCCCCAGCGTAGCCATAACCTAACGGTCTGAAAGCTCACTTCTTTGTGAGCAGCGTTTGGAGGCTGCGATTTCCTCTGGTCTTACAAGAAAAGCAAAGCAGCTCTGGCTCAGCTGCCCCGTACCCAGCTCTGCAGGACCACCCCGGCCCACGCCGTGACAGCACCCACCTTGCTCAGCAAGACGGCGATGTGCTGCCTCCTGTTGGGCGGGTCGTGGGCAATCCATTTCAGGATAGCCTCGAACACGGCATCTTCTTGTTTCACGTTGAGCTCATCCTTCTCAATGATGTGCTTCAGCTCGTTGACGGAGAGGTCTAGAAACTCTGTAGACACCTTGGTCATGTCCTCGAAGTGATGGAGGATGAACACACAGGCTGCTTCTCGCAGGTCGGGACAGTGGTAATAATCTGTGAGCCTGCAGATGCCGATGCAATTTTCCAAGCATAGCTGGGATTTTAAGAACTCGCAGCACAGTCGGATGATGCCCATGATATTGAACTGGTCTGCTGCCGTTAGCAAACTTTCAACGTTGTCAGCCGTGACCATTACTGTCCTGGTGTAGGCGTACTCGATAATGAGCCTCATCATTTCAGGTGAGGTGCCGGGGATTTTATACACTATTTTCTCTGCGTTGTTCCAGCTGCTGGTAAACAAAGCCCTGAAAAAACAAAGCAGTGCTGGGGGGAAAAAACAGCTTTGCTGCTTTAAACCCTGACCCCGTTATCCCCCTGTGCCTTTTTCCCCAGGCACCAGTTTGGGCACTTGGCCAGTAGCCATGCTGGGAGGCTGTGTAGTTTATTAATTAATATTTTACTAACTGGTTGTTTTAAAAACCCTCGGCTGTGGACAGAGAGCAACAGGACAAGTGGTCACCTTGCTTCAACAAGAATACCAGAGAATAACGGTGTGTGGGGAAGGAAAACCTCCCGCCCAATGGCAGATGAGCCAGGCTGGCCACGCTCCCGGCCCTGCACCGCATCTGGGGGTTCGTCAGACACCAATTCCAGAGGTGCTGTTAGATATTAGGCTGTGGATTAATTCTGGTGTCCAGGAAGGTACCGGGACTATGGGTAACTGCTGGATGAGAGCTTTAGCGCTGATGTAAGCGCTGGAGATACTCTAAGGCAACGTGACCGCAGACTAGGAAACACATTTGTATTTCCCCTCTTGTTTCAGGCACTGACCTGAAATAGTGACTGCAGCTACAGAGGATGTTCTTGTGAGCGTTGAATTCAATACCATCCACGCTGATGATCACATCACAGAGTTTCCCTTCCAGGCGAAGCTCATTGAAGACGGTGCAAGCCATAGCACTCATCTTCCTCTCCATGTGTGAGGATGAATAGCCGGTGGGTGCCAAGCTATCGCCCATGTCAAAGCCTGAGACAGTTGAAGCTGCTTCTCTTTGAGATGCTGCAGGGCTTTGTCCTTGCCCTCCAAGATCATCTCTGATACCCTGTCTGGCTGGTGGTTCTGGAATATGCCCCATAATGAGATCACAGATGCAGGGGGGACCCAGGATCGGCTGTGAGCCCCTCCGCAGGCAATGGGGTCCTGGTTCTCCCAGCTCCTTCGTTCCATGGCTGCCCTCAACCTTCCCTTAACCACAGCCCAAATTACGCTGGACCCTGTACCTACACCCTGCTGATGGCTGCTCTGAGCAAAGCCAGCCTTGTGATTCCCCTGCAACATTTTAATATTATTTAGCCTGGGTATAAGGTCGAGGGAGGTGATTCTGCCCCTCTACTCTGCTCTGGTGAGACCTCACCTAGAGTACTGCATCCAGCTCTGGAGCCCTCAGCACAAGGAGGACATGGAAGTGTTGGAGCGGGTCAAGAGGAGGGCCACAAAAATGATCCGGGGGCTGGAGCACCTCTGCTATGAGGACAGGCTGGGAGAGTTGGG